CTAATCTCCGCCGCGTCAGCCTCCCAACCCCGCGAGATTCCAGGGTGTATACTGTAAAGATCTTCCATTTTCAAGGATCGAATTTATGAAAAGGGTATTTGTTGCAGGAGGAAAGCGGAAAAGGCTGGAGAAGATCGCGATCACTGCTGCCGCTGATACTGCCAATACAAAGAGTTCAGTTTAATTAATGCTCAGGTTTGCTTTAATTTCAGGGAAATTAGAATAAAAAAGGAAAATAAAGGAAGAGGAAAGGGGTTCGCACGTGCGAGAGAGAGGACGGAGGTGTGTGGAATAGTGGCGGAATAGGCCAGGGGCAGGGCAGGAGGTCGCCCGTATTTATAGCTGTCACATCAGCGATCTACGTTGACGTGACATGCACACATACGTGGTCGATCAATGAATGGTCGCTGCCATTGGGTTGCGTGGGATGTGGGCCCCAGATTGCGAGCGCTAAGTAAAACTGCTGTTGCCATCACAACCGAGCACCGGGTGGGAGTGTTCTGATGTTGCGTCGGAGTAGCATTAGGTTAAGACGTGCCACCGGGTGCAAAAGGATAAAGATGGTATCTGAATGTTTTTTTTCCTTTTTCTTTTTTTTTTTTGTTTTTTTGTTTGTTTGTTTTTTTTTTGGGTTGGGTTGGGTTGGGTTGGGGGGGGGGGGGGGGGNTTAGATTAGAATCATTTCCATATGTACACATATAATTTAAGGATAATTTTGATGAAGGTTGTGAAGAAGGTGTTTTTTAGAATAAACACGTATTGCATGTCATTTCAAAATATATTAATTCTCTGAAGTAAGAGAAGAATATGAGATGGTTTATCTATGATCCTCTTTTAAATTCTCTACAAGTGACTTGACTAGAGTCATGAAGTTTTATTTCTTTTATACATATGCTTCATTGTTATTTGTTGCTTTGATAACTCTAGACTTGGTTCTTATAAACTAGGTCATATGTCTTGCACATTATTTTTATTTGAAAAATTCCTCAATGACCCAAAATATGGGACCAAAAGGGGGGACAAGTCAGGTGTCCCCCTCCTATTGGATAATGAGTTGGCCATCATTAATGATGGTCAACTCATTATCCAATAGGAGAGGGACACCTCACTTGTCTCACTTATCGATCCCATATTTTGGGTCCCTGTAGCAAAGCTGTTTTTATTTTATATAGGGAAAATTGCTTAGAGGAACTAAAATAAGTTTGGCTATTCATCCTCCTCCCCAGTTTAAAAAGCATAACCCCCAAGCCCTGATTCTGAAAAAAGAGTGCAAGTAACCCCTAAATAGTATACTGACCAACTCCCCAACAAAGTCATTCCTAAATTACTCTTCCCAATTTAAAACTGAACCAAACTCTTCAAGGCCAACCCTCTTCCTCTCAAGACCGCCGCCGACGCTGGTCGCCGGAACCATGGCCAGACAACACCCCCTCCACATCGCCGTCGTTCTTCTCGTCGCCCCCGACGACCTCTTTCGGCAAGCATGCATCAACGGCGAGGGTGCCCTGAGGTTTGACTATTGGTGAGCTAGGGTTTCCCCTCTGTTCTTTTAAGATTTGGGTGGGAAAAAATAATGGAGATTCAAATTCCTTCAAATTCGCGAATTTTCTCGAGATGGGTAATTTCTCTTTCTCTTCAATTTTGATTCAGCTATCATTTGCATCTGATTTCATTTTCATGCCGGGATCTCTAGTTGGAGATTGAATGATTTAGGGTTTCTTGAAGCTCAGATCAAAATTTTGTTGTGTATTTGAAATAGACTGCAATTTGTGCAGATTGGATGCCTTTGATGTTAAATTGAGCTTATCCGAGCTTCAAATTCTAGGGATTTGGCTACTGAATTTTGAATTTTAGTCAATACAGGACTTTGTGAGGAAATTACGATGATCTTCTTTCAACAGCTTTTCTGTCTTCTTTCCATTACGGTTGCTCACCTGATGAAATTCTCTACTTTTTTAGTTCCTTTAGTTTTTTAATAAAGCTTATGGCTGTGAATTATCTTATGTGTTTCCTTCTCTCATAGTTAGGGTCACTAGATATGAATTATCATCGGATTTAATAAGAAAATTGCCTGTACATCTTCATATACATATTTGCAGTTGCATATCTTGGTTGAGTAGATAATCATAAGGTTTAAACACTTATATTGACACATGTAGCTTTTGTTTTCTGTGAATTATTGTTGACTATACTAAGTAGTTCTTCATTTGACTCTTTTTGTTTGTAAATTAGGTTGTTTGTAAAGAGACAGTGGCTGAGAAAAGAAACGGTGGCTGAGATGGGTAAGATCATCGTCGGCGGTGGCGCCGGTGGCCGAGCGTGGGTCCCGGGAACTGCCACGTGTGCAACTTATCTAAGGTGTCAAGTTTATCATCCGACGATGGAGAGCAAGTGGGACCTCGCCGCAGTTCTAATTGCTCCGAGAATAGCACCGCCATCATCACGTCCCGGATGGAGAGCAAGTGGGCTCTCATGTTGATGATGATGATGAGAAAGAGAACAAAAGATGGTTTTTTAGGGAGAGAACATAGGATTTGTACCTAATTCAGTGCACCCAAAAAAGAAGAAGAAGAAGAAGAGAGAAATTTGTTTGCTTTAAATTCGAGTTTTGAGTTCATTGTTTGTATTGTACATTGCTGTAGATTGGTTCTACGAAGGAAATAGGATGGTGGGTTGGGATTGTAACTTCTTGATGTATTTTTGTTTGATGGGTTGAAATCCATTGTAAGGATGATTTTGATCCAATTAGAGTTCAATTTGGGAGTATTGTTATGTTTCTTAGTTATTCAAGGTTAAATGAGAAAATGAGGGAACATATATGTATCACAATTAACCGTAAATATGACAAATAAGCATATCATGTGATATTTCAATATTATATGTGACAATTCAATCTTACATGTGACAGTTCTACCTTATATGTGATATTTAGATCTGATTTGTGATATTTGGGTGTTGTATGTGATATTTGGGTGTTGCTTATGACATTTATTATTTATACGTGACACATTCACTATCAATAAATTACAGCCAAATAGCACAAATTACAGCCATGTGTCACGTATAAATAATAAATATCACAAGCAACGCCTAAATATCACATACAATAGATATAAGTCACATTTAATAGAGTCATTCCACATGTGACAAATAAGCATATCATGTGATATTTCAATGTTATATTATGGGTTGTATGTGATATAATTCACATCTAATATAGTCATATAAGTCACATCTAATATAGTCATTCCACATGTGACTAACAAGCATATCATGTGACAAATAAGCACATGTAGAATGACTCTATTAGATCTAAATATCACATACAAATAAGCACATTTATTGTTTATACGTGATATTTGGGTGTTGTATGTGATATTTGGGTGTTGCTTGTAACATTTGTTATTTATACGTGACATTTAGGTGTTGTATGTGATATTTGGGTATTGTGTATGATATTTGGATGTTGCTTGTGACATTTGTTGTTTATACGTGACATTTGGGTATTGTACGTGATATTTGGGTGTTGTATGTGATATTTGGGTGTTGCTTATGATATTTGTTATTTATACGTGACATCTGGGTGTTGTATGTGATATTTGGGTGTTGTATGTGATATTTAGGTGTTGCTTGTGACGTTTGTTGTTTATACGTGACACATTTGTTGTATAAACAATAAATGTCACAAGCAACACCCAAATGGGTGTTGTATGTGATATTTGCATGTAATTTGTTGATAGTGAATGTGTGTATTTGTCACATAGCTGTAATTTGTTTATACGTGACACATGGCTGTAATTTGTTATATGTGATATTTAGATCTAATAGAGTCATTCCACATGTGCTTATTTGTCACATGATATGCTTGTTAGTCACATGTGGAATGACTATATTAGATGTGACTTATATGACTATATTAGATGTGAATTATATCACATACAACCCATAATATAACATTGAAATATCACATGATATGCTTATTTGTCACATGTGGAATGACTCTATTAAATGTGACTTATATCTATTGTATGTGATATTTAGGCGTTGCTTGTGATATTTGTTATTTATACGTGACACATGGCTGTAATTTGTGCTATTTGGCTGTAATTTATTGATAGTGAATGTGTCACATATAAATAATAAATGTCATAAGCAACACCCAAATATCACATACAACACCCAAATATCACGTATAAACAACAAATGTCACAAGAAACACCCAAATATCACATATAACACCCAAATATCACGTATAAACAACAAATGTCACAAGCAAACACCCAAATATCACATACAACACCCAAATATCACAAATCAGATCTAAATATCACATATAAGGTAGCACTGTCACATGTAAGATTGAATTGTCACATATAATATTAAAATATCACATGATATGCTTATTTGTCATATTTACGGTTAATTGTGATACATAAATGTTCCCTCATTTTCCCATTTAACCTTGAATAACTAAGAAACATAACAATACTCCCAAATTGAACTCTAATTGGATCAAAATCATCCTTACAATGGATTTCAACCCATCAAACAAAAATACATCAAGAAGTTACAATCCCAACCCACCATCCTATTTCCTTCGTAGAACCAATCTACAGCAATGTGCAATACAAACAATGAACTCAAAACTCGAATTTAAAGCAAACAAATTTCTCTCTTCTTCTTCTTCTTTTTTGGGTGCACTGAATTAGGTACAAATCATATGTTCTCTCCCCAAAAAACCATCTTTTGTTCTCTTTCTCATCATCATCATCAACATGAGAGCCCACTCGCTCTACATCCGGGACGTGATGATGGCGACCCTATTCTCGGAGCAATCAGAACTGTGGCGAGGTCCCACTTGCTCTCCATCGTCGGATGATAAACTTGACACCTTAGATAAGTTGCACATGTGGCAGTTCCCGGGACCCACGCTCGGCCATCGGCGCCACCGCCGATGATGATCTTACCCATCTCAGCCACCGTTTCTTTTCTCAGCCACTGTCTCTTTACAAACAACCTAATTTACAAACAAAAAGAGTCAAATGAAGAACTACTTAGTATAGTTAACAATAATTCACAGAAAACAAAAGCTACATGCGTCAATATAAGTGTTTAAACCTTATGATTATCTACTCAACCAAGATATGCAACTGCAAATATGTATATGAAGATGTATAGACAATTTTCTTATTAAATCCGATGACAATTCATATCTAGTGACCTTAACTATGAGAGAAGGAAACACATAAGATAATTCACAGCCATAAGCTTTATTAAAAAACTAAAGGAACTAAAAAAGTAGAGAATTTCATCAGGAGAGCAACCGTAATGGAAAGAAGACAGAAAAGCTGTTGAAAGAAGATCATCGTAATTTCCTCACAAAGTCCTGTATTGACTAAAATATCACAATTCAGCAGCCAAATCCCTAGAATTTGAAGCTCGGATAAGCTTAATTTAACATCAAAGGCATCCAATCTGCACAAATTGCAGTCTATTTCAAATACACAATAAAATTTTGATCTGAGGTTCAAGAAACCCTAAATCATTCAATCTGCAGCTAGAGATCCTGGCATGAAAATGAAATCAGATGCAAATGATAGCTGAATCAAAATTGAAGAGAAAGAGAAATTACCCATCTCAAGAAAATTTGCGAATTTGAAGGAATTTAAATCTCCATTATTTTCCCACCCAAATCTTAAAAGAACAGAGGGGAAACCCTAGCTCACCAATAGTCAAACCTCAGGGCACCCTCGCCGTTGATGCATGCTTGCCGGAAGAGGTCATCGGGGGCGACGAGAAGAACGACGACGATGTGGAGGGGTGTTGTCTGGCCGTGATTCCGGCGGCCGGCGTCGGCGGCGGACTTGAGAGGAAGAGGGTTGGCCTTGAAGAGTTGGGTTCAGTTTTAAATTGGGAAGGGTAATTTAGGAATGACTTTGATGGGGAGTGGGTCAGTATACTATTTAGGGGTTACTTGCACTCTTTTTTCAGAATCAGTGCTTGGGGGTTATGCTTTTTAGACTGGGGAGGAGGATGAATAGCCAAACTTATTTTAGTTCCTCTAAGCAATTTTCCCTTTTATATAAAGGAGACTCTCATCGCTCTTTGCTTTAGAAAAAAATATATATAATAATAAATAAGATTTATTACTCTCTTAAATATTTCATTTATGAAACTAGTACCTCAACTCATGGAAATTGCTATTGAGTACCTCAAATTTTAGATTATTTTTAGTCTGTCAAATCATGCAAATTTCTACTAGGTCCCCTAAATTCTTAACTTATTCAAAATGACTCCTTTCTATCAAGATCGAGTAGAAATAGCAATTGGAGGGATTGTTAAGTAAAATCTATTGTTGTGAATTATCAGCTTTTCCAATTCTCATAATTTGTTTCAAACTAATCCCTACATTTTTTTTGTTCATATTCTTGATTGGAGGGACTAATTTCAAAATAATTAAGAATTAGGGAAGCTAATAGCAATTTTCGATGGCAGACCAATTGGAAAATAACATAAGAATTGAGGAAACTAATAAAATATTACATGATTTGAGGGGTTAATTTCAAAATATGAAGGATTAATTTCAAAATATGGCAGACCAATAGGGAGAGAAATTATAAAATCCTAAAAGATATGAAACTAAACTAAAGAAAAACAAGATAGCTTAACTATATTATTTAGCACCCTCATGAAACTCACGGTGGATAGAGAACCAAGAGTTTGGATGAGATGAGCCAAAATGGAGTACATTGGTTGCTAGAATTGCATGTGGCAACTGGTGTCATCCGACAAGGGCTTGGACTGAGATAGTGAGGTAACAATGTAGTTTGGACTAGCAGTGACGCTACCGCGAGCATTGCAGATAAGAGATAGTTTGACTTCACTGTCTGGGGCTATAGTTAGAAAGGATTTGGTGGTGTCATTGTCGTGGGTGCTATAGATAGAAAGTGTCAAATGGTGTCCCTACCATGGGTGGTCCAGTTGGAGAGGGTCAGGCGATGTTGGTATCATGGGCGTTGCGGTTAAAACATTAAGCCGAACAGCTTATGTACATGTAAAGTCCTAAGGTGGCTGGAGTTGTGGGATTGTTGGTGATTGGGTGTGAGCATTGTTGTGGCCGCGTGGGATGATGCTTCCATTGAGGTATGGGTTGCCAACACTAGAGTTGAGTTTGGGGAAGTTGAACGAGGGTGGTTGCGGTGCTTCTAGCAGTGATGGGGCTATTAGTGCATAGGGTTGTACAATCGGTCGGTCGATTCATTTTTTGGCCAAATTTGGCCAAACCGAACTGAAGTGTTTATTATTCAAAACCGAAGTGAATCGATTCAAGTCGGTTCAATTCGGTTTGGGTCGGTTTGTTCGGTTTTTACTTGGGTACAAATGTTTTGTCCAAATTCAATTTAACTTCTAATCTGTTAACGAAGAAATAAGTCACTTACACTTCAATTTATTGAAATTAATAAACTATTAAATGGCACTGAATATTAGATGTAGAAATCAAATCTAATTCCTACCAAAGATTACATAAATTTTTTTTAGAGAAAATTTACATAAAGAATTAAAGTGATCTCAATCTGATAGACTAAGTAAAAAAAATGTAATAACTTGGATGTTGAGTATAGTTTCTATAAAATTATAAGTCTAATCCAAAGAGAAGTCTGGTCCAAAAATATATCAATCGATGAGAAAAATTAGGAAAATGTTAGAATAAACATTATGGTTTAAGTTTCTTACCTCCAAAGTAGATTAGTCCAAAGTAGAAGAAGCAAATATGGAATAGAGAGGGATAGAGAACTAGATATAATGAAAAGCCCTAGAATTGAAGAGGACGCCATTATTTGGGTATTTTATCGCTATTAGGTCGCGTGAGAGAAAAAGATATCAAGTTGCAGCGAAGTAACTTATTTTTTTGTCAATGAAAAACTTTATTCACTCACCAAATTTGTAACTTTTTATGTACATCATGCTACTCATAATATGAGATATCAACTAAACAGGAAAAACTAAAGAAAATGAAAACTCAGTAACACAATCATTCATCCCCTCTAATATTTATAGTGAATAGAGCCAAAACTTTTTTTCAGCTGGTAGGGGGAATTGAGCAAGATAGTTAGGATGTCTACTTTGATGCTTTTTATCAACTGATCAGTGCTTCGAGCTTTTCCATTGAAGAATCTTTCATTTCGTTCTCTCCAGATAGTGTAAATTGTGGTGGAGAGAGCCAATCTCTTGATTCTTTGTGTAATGCCTTTCCCTTTTAATCTGGAAATATAGAAATCAAACAACATGTTCCACTCTGATGCTCTCCATTTGTATTTCAACTAGTCCATGACAACATTCCAGATTCTGCTTGAAAAACAGCAATCAAAGAATAAATGGCAGCGGCTCTCCATATCAACACCATCACACAAATAGCATTTGTTTGAATGAATGACCCCCCTTCTTATTAATCTATCTTGCGTTAAGAGCTTGTCTTGAACTGCTAACCATTTAATAAAAGAGTGCTTTGGGTAGCAATACTCCTCCCACACTGTCGATCATATGCCAACCAACCTCAGCTGCTGCAGGGGATAGAACTAAATAAAGATCGGAGAGATGAACTTTATGATTTTTATAACAGGAACTAATGAGCTTCTTCAGATTGTTCACTCCACCCTAAGTGTTCAAAGCATTGTCTCTAACTTTAAGCAATTGCAGCGAAGTAACTCTATACGAACTAGAATGGGTCGGATTTAAGCGGAACAAATAGTAATTAGAATGGGTAATACAATTAGGTCGGTTCGGTCGGCTCAGGTTGAAAAAACTTCAACCCAAACCGAACCGAACTTTAATAAAAGCCAAACCGAACTGTCAAATTTCGGTTGGTTCGGTCAGTTTGTTCGGTTTGAAGCGAACTATGCTAACCCTAGTGGTGCTTGAGGTTTGCTTTGTTGAGCATGGTAGCAAGCGAGAACGCAGTTGGGTGGGGTGTCAGGTGGAGGGTTCGAAGGAATTCTATCAAACACCTTGCAAACACGTTATCAGTAAGTGGGAAGAACGGCTCCTTGTTGGTGTTGAGTTTGGGTGGTGTTGTAGGAACTGTTGGGAGGGGAGTTTCAGATTTGCTTGAGGTAGAGACCTTGTGGAGACGGGATGCACGTGGAGGTGATCTGGTTAGGGAATTTTCGTCAAACAACTACTGGGCATAAAGGGTTTAATAGTGGAAGAAGAACACGGCGATGGGGTAGCTGTTGATGGCACTCAAGGAGGGTTAGTAGTGCTTCTTGTTAGGGATTTAGGCTTTGCAATTAGGCACACGCGATGCACTGGATCATATCATGCTTGTTAGAGTAGTGGTGGAGGACGTGGCTGTTGCGGCACCCCAAATGAAGCTAAGTTAGAGTTCTGCCGTGAGAGGAGGTTGTGAGCGACGGCGATAGTGCGTCAAGGTTGAATACGATGCCGAGGCCACCGAGGGGAAGCATGAAGTTTGCGGCGAAACCCTCTCTGTGGCTCCAGATCAAGGAAGAAGAAAGAGGTTTTTCTAGGGCTAATAACAAGGCTCTGATACCATGATAAGAATAAAGCCTTTTAGAAGAAAACAAACTATATTGTTCATTGCATTAAAATGCTTAAATACATTAGTAAGGAGAGAAGTTATATAATCCTAAGCAGTGTGAGACTAAAATGAAGAAAAATAAGATAGTCTAAATATATTATTTAACAATTGACAAGAGGAAGTATATAGAGATTATGAATTAAAAAAAGGGCAAAATGACCAAATCCCGCTTAAAGTATTGGTGAACTATTAAGTTTTTCTGTAAAATATCAATTTGTTTTTTTTTTTGCCTACAATAATGTCTTTTACATATCAATGACGTGACACCTTTTGTCGCATTTATGGAATTCCAAAAAAATCAATTCTAAAATGGATAAAGGGCAGAAAATGTTGGAATGTAGGTTTTTTCTTTTTCTTTTTTTCTTTTTTTTTGTTTGGTCGAAAAAGAGACAAACTGATAAAAACTCATGAAGAAATGCAAAAAATGGTCACGTCATTAATTTGTTAAATATTTGATTGTGGGCTCATAAAATGACCATGTTAGGCGCACACACACAGTTTAAAAGGAAAAATAAACAATTTGATAATTTAAGAAGAAAGTTGAGAGATCATCAATGTTTTAACGATGAGTTGGTAAATTTGTCCTTAAGAAAAATAGAAGAGATAAAAGAAAAATACACAAATAGAAGTTAAGATGAAGATACAGATCACAAAACAGGGAATTTGGATTTTTGAATAAATGTATCATGTTACTTTGAGACGTTGGACTATGGGACACATTGCCATTTATGTTGCCATAAAAAAAAGATGATCAGCCATTAAGTGATGAAGAGTGACTTTCATCTCTGATCTTTTTTTTTCCAAACACTTTCTAATTTGATTCATTCCAAACATAGAAATAGCGGACAATAACGACACAATTTCAATTATTAAGGAGACGTGACGAAATATTTTCAATTATTAAGAAGATGTGACGGAGTATTCTGACGACAAGAATCCTAAAGTATTACTGGAGATTACAAAGGTGTATTGCAGCAATAATTAGCAATTGAATAATCTTGAATACCAAGAATGTCACACCCTGATCCCATAACGCCACATGTTTGAAAACCCAAAATTTGAAATACAAGTATAACTAAAGTAGGAGGTGTCTATTTTTCGAACCTCTGTTTTAGGAGGGAAATCTCTCTAACATGCATTTTGCTATCTGGAACATTAGAGGATTTAATAAATCCTCTAAACATTCTATAGTTAAGCACTTTATTCAATAGCATAAACTTTCTTTAATAGCTCTCTTGGAAACTAAGATTCCTGAAAACAAGCTACCTGAGCTAGCAAGAAAAATTGCAAAAGGTTGGCATTGGAGATCAAATGTGCAAGAAGCTAGAAACTGCAGAATTTGGATTCTTTGGGATAATGAATCCTTGATTATTCAGAATGCCATTTCATCAGAACAATTCATTACTTAATTATCTATGGAATCAAGAGATGGGAAAATTTCCAGTATATGCACATTTGTTTATGCTCTCAATCAAATGCCTAACAGGAATATCCTTTGGAAGAAATTGCTAGATTATAAACAAAATGTTATTGGCCCATGGATTATTGGTGGAGACTTTAATACAGATCAGAAGATTTTCAAAACTTCATAAACAATGGTCAATTGATGAATTTGAACACTACTGGTTGCTATTTTACTTGGTCAAATAAACAAGAAGCAGAAAGTAGGATTTGGTCCAAATTGGACAGATGCTTAATAAATGAAGACTGGTTGCATCTTTATACATCTAGCCAGGTGGAATATCTCCTGCCCAAATGCTCTGATCATTCTCCTGCTTTAATATCCATTGCTGATGATGGAATGGAGGAGGGTAAAAAACCATTCAAATTCTTTAATATGTGGGTGAGGCATTCTGATTATTTCTCAATAGTTAAATCTATTTGGGAGCAAAATGTTGAAGGCTACAAAATGTTCAGTTTCCACACAAAGCTCAGAAAGCTGAAGTTTGCTTTAAAAAATTTAAACAAAAAATATTTTATGAACATAAGTGTGCAGGTTTGCAGAGCAAAGGAAGAGCTAGAAGACACACAGAGGCAGCTTAGTAATAATCTTTTCAGCTCAGTCCTGATTGCTGAAGAAAAAGAATGCATTAAGAGGTATGACAGACTGCTTGATTGTGGATACTCTTTCTTTAAGAAAAAGCAAATATTAACTGGTGTTTGCAAGGGGATAAGGGGTCAAAATTATTCCATTCTGCCATGAAAAGGAGAAGACATCTCAATAAAATCTTGTCTCTTCAAACTGAGGAGGGGATCAGAATCACTGATAAATCCCAGGTGATTGCTGAAATTACTGAATACTACAAAAAATCTGCTTGGCTACTCAGTTCCTACCCTATCTCCTAATCCAGAGGTTATTGCAAATGGTCCTCATCTCACTACTGATCAAAAGCTAATGCTCAGCCTGCCTTTTACAAGAGAGGAAATCAAGAAGGCTATTTTTCTATGTCAAATGATAAAAGCCCAGGACCTGATGGATATAATGCTTTCTTCTTCAAAGCCACATGGGAAGTTATTAGTGATGATTTATTTCAAGCTGTTGAGGAATTCTTTCCTTAATCCTCAATTTGCTTCAGACTACAGACCTATATCATGCTGTAATTGCATATATAAAACCATCTCTAAAGTCATTGCTTCTAGGATCCAAAAAGTTATGGATTCTTTGATTAGTGATGCCCAAAGTGCCTTCATAAAGGGTAGGCTTATATCTAGCAATATCCTATTGGCACATGAAATGGTTAAGTACTATGGCAGGAAGCACACTTCCCCTAGAACAATGTTGAATATTGATTTGAGAAAAGCATTCAATACAATCAATTGGGACTTTATCAGAGAAATGCTGAAAGGCCTGTGATTCTCAGAAAATATGATCTCCTGGATCATGGAATGCATTACAACACCTAAATTCTCCATTTCTATTAATGGTTCTCTTCATGATTATTTTCAAGGTGCTAGAGGGCTTAGACAAGGAGATCCAATTTCTCCATATTTGTTTGTTATTGGTATGGAATATTTATCAAGGAAGCTTAACTCTCTCATGGGGGGTAGACTCTTCAAGTTTCATCCAAAATGTTCAAATCTGAATTTGACTCACCTCATTTTTGTGGATGACCTCCTTTTGTTTTGTAAAGCTGATTTATACTCTATATCAAAATTATGGGAGTGTCTTAAGGAATTCAGTCAAGTTTCAGGCCTTGAACCAAATCCCTCCAAATGCTCTGTCTTTATGAGTGGGGTTGATGATAATCTGAAGCATCAGATTTGTGCCCTTCTTAACTTCTCTGAAGGTATTTTACCTATGAGGTACCTGGGTATGCCACTGATTTCAAAAAGGCTCTCTTGGCTTGATTGCAGTCCTCTTATTAATAAAATAGCTGATCAATTCCAAAATTGGCGAAGCAAAAACTTCTTGTCATATGCTGGGAGGTTGCAGTTAATTAAGTCAGTTATCTTGGGTATAGAAATTTTTTGGACTAGCAATTATATCCTACCAATTAAAGTTCTCGAGAGGATTGACAGTATATGCTCTGATTTCTTATGGGGACATAAAATTCATTTAGTCTCCTGGAATTCAGTCTGTCAAGGCGTCAAACAAGGTGGTCTGGGTCTGTTTTCTGCTAAATACTGTAATTATTCAACGGTTGCGAAAATGCTTTGGATGATACATCTCAAAAAAGACATCCTTTGCATCAGATGGGTCCATGGTCACTATTTGAGACAAAATGATATATGGCAGGTTCAGGCAAAAACAAGTGATTCTTGGACATGGAGGCAACTTTTAAAAGTAAGAGATATATTGAAGAATAAAACTAGAAGTGTGGCTAATTTGACAAATGCAATTAAAAGCTGCTACACTAATGGAAAAGTCAGTATCTCTTCTATTTACAGGACTATTTTCCAGCAACATGGTTTGTTTGAAGGATCTGACACAATTTGTGGGGTTTGGCACTACCCCAAGCATTCTTTCATATTATGGCTTGTATCTCTCTCTAGACTTCTCACACAAGACAGGTTGTGTAACATGGGGTTGCTAAGTTCAAGCCAATGTGTGTTTTGTTCAATTCAAGCAGAGTCATGCCAACACATCTTTTTTGAGTGCCAATATTCAGCCAATGTTTGGAATAAAGTGATGGAATGGATGAAGTTCAATTGGAGATCATGCCCATGGGACCTGATTATGAACTGGTTCAACCGGAACTTGAGAGGAAGAAGTTATAAAAAGAAATTGAAGAGAATTGCATTATCTGTGTCAGTGTACATGCTATGGCAAGAGAGGAACTTCAGGATTTTTCAACATCAAAGAGCAACAAGAAGCCCTGACTCACTCTTTCGTGCAATCAAATTCAGTGTATATAAAAAAGTTTTGAATGATAGATTTCCACAACATATATTACAGTTCATAGAAAACCTGTCATAGAGAAGACTGGATTTTTAAAATCAGTCTATTGATTTGTTTCTTTGATATGTACAAAACTTTCCATACTTGGTGATGAATAAAATTTTAAAATCAGTCTATTGATTTGTTTCTTTGATATGTACAAAACTTTCCATACTTGGTGATGAATAAAATTTTACATTCATTTACCAAAAAAAAGTAGGGGGTGGAAGAATCTAATGGCTTCCAGTGAGCAAACCTTGAGTTTCGAGAATCAGATGAGAAATCTTATCAAAGCGATTTAGGGGTTGTTTGGTTCATTTCCATAAAATTATGAAAATGGATCTCCTCACAAAAAATCAAATTCAAAATTTTTTTAGGATATGCAAGGAAAAACTTGTGTTTGATTTGGATTGATAAAGCAAATAATAGGAAAACATACAAAAAACTCATGTTTGTTTCATTTCCAAAGAATAAGAAAAGAACCATCATAGAGAGAGGAAAACCTGAGTTGGCAAATATGTCAACTTTCTAGCATATTTCCAAGCCAAAAGATAGGATTTGTGCTGTCCAAAAAAATCACAGTTTTCTCTCTTTTTAAGAAACATTTTTCTTAAAAAATTGAAACAAACTCAACTTTTGGAATCCTATAATGGCCCAAAACCTACTCTTTGTTCCAAAAATGCTGGTTTCCTAAAATTTTGGCCCAAACAAACAACCCCTTAGTGACGAAAGATGATCTTTTAAAAGTTATGTGAATACTTAGAACTTGGAGTAGTAATTTTTTTTTTGCCAATGAAAATTTTTATTCATTCAACCATTTTGAAAGTTTTATACATCATGATTCTCAAAACATGAGAAAGTTTAGCTATTAACAAAAATACAAGGGATAATCCCCACTCTCCAACTCCTAATTGCAAAGAAGTAATCCACTTTTTATTTTCAGGTAAAGTAGTACTATTAAGAACTAAGATCAAAATATCAACTTTAATTTCTTTAGCTAATTGATCAGCCCCCTTGGATTTCTGCAAAATATCCTCGCATTTCTTTCATTCCATATCCTATATAATGAAGCATTGAAAGTGTTGATGTCTGATATCACACAGTCGATGAGAGTTGTTCGTGGATGATGAATAGTGAGAGGATGAGAGATGGGGTTGACTCCTCCTCCGAATTTATGCTCATCCTTAGACTGGAATTCCTGATTCTCCTGCATGAAGAAGAACAAACACGTAAGAGGGCGGGGCCAGTTTCATTCGTGGTACCTCCGACAATCAAGTCAGGTGGCTAGCTTGAGTGGGGTTTGAGGGAGTGTCACGGGACCATTGAGGTTCTTGTCAGGGGGTACTCTTTGTGAGCTATTAATAGAAAGAAAGTTGGTCAAGAGGGAAGAAATGAACCCCCGAATTCAATGAATGTCCAGCCTCTTCGTCGAGTTAAGATTAAAAAGAGAAGAAGAAGAAGCCCCCTCCCTCTCCCCTACCTTACCCTCTTTCCTCCCTTTTATAGTCCTTCGCCCTGAGATTCTAACACTGGGCTTTGACTATGCACAGGAGGGCGGTGGCAGGGTAAGTAGATAGGCTGCTTAGTTATCCTTAACTTTACAGATGTCGGCTGGCGATTGGAGGGTAAGTCATTCGAGCACAGGAGAGGATGTCTCCAACATATCCCAGATTTTGACAGATGAGGCATGACGGAAGATAGGCTGACTGTCTAGCTATTCTTTGCTTTACAGATGTTGACTGGCGTTTGGAAGGAAAGTCATTCGAGCACATGAGGAGATATCTTAGTGATATCTGGGAAGTGACTTGTGAGCAGAGTAAGCTGTTTATGCCTGAGATTTGTCAGAGTTGAGATCTTGATGGGATCAATCAATACTGTAGTGCATATCTGAAGGGAGCTAAGTTGGATTTTATCCCCTCAGTAGAGATGGGTTGGTTTCCGAGTTGTCCCTATGATTTGCCGACCCGATAGTCGAGTGAGCTTCTGGCCGAGGAGACAGCCGAGTAGATGGTTGAGCTGAATACATGAGGAGTTGTCTCGATTATGAGGTGGACGGACTCTTGAGGAGTCGTCTTGATTATGAGGGGTCGACTGATCCCGCACTTCGCATCGAAAAAGATGATTCGTCGCTCGGTGGGTCGATTGATTTATTCTCGGCTGGGCTTTGGGCCACTAAGTCGGCTTGTGCCATAGCTTTTTGGGACTATGAAGACAGTTTCTCGATATTTTTATCTTTAGATGGCGAATTACCATAATAGAAAGTCATCCTCTTAATCCTTTGTTTAAATCCCTTGCCTCTCAAATTGGTAATATATCACTCCAAGAGATAGTTCCAATCACAAGAACACCATCTGAATTGGAGCCACTCCATAATCTTGTTCCAGACAATTTTAGAGAACTCACATTCAAAGAAGAGATGATCACGGCTCTCCGAAGCTGCACCACTGCATAAACAACAGGACTTAGTGAACACAATCCCCATTCTTAACAGCCTGTCTTGCATGAGCAACCTATTTTTAACTGTAAGCCAACTTATAATTGAATGCTTGGGGTAATTCATTCTCTCCCATATAGTATTAACCCATGAGAACTTTGAGAGAAGCCGGAGATAGAGCTATGTACAAGGCAGAGGTTTTAACTTTTGAATTTTTATAGCAAGAGCCAATAATATGTTTCAGGTTATCAATTTCCACTAGTTAATGCCAATGCTTTATCTCTGATTTATAACATTTGCTTCCAAAGCCAATAACCTGTTTTGAACTTGGAGTAGTATATTATAGGGCAACGACATTGTACATCCTTTTACTATAAAGAATTTTTATAAATTATTGGGAAAATTGTGTCAAGACCCCAAAAGTAAAATCCTTATATTCTGCAGCTCCTTCACTTTTTTCTCATATGATTCAACCCTAAGAAATGTCACATCATGAGCTGCAGTCCTTTTTACATGTAATTATCATGCCAACTAAGTACAAAGAGAGAGAACCAAACATAAAAGTCTAAAATACCCTCATTTTCTCATCCCTCTTCGTTCTCTCCAAATCTATCATGTTAGGTCCAGATTGAATCATGTTAAGTCTAATTTAATTCATTTTAAGTCTAATTTAAATCATGTTAAGTCTAATTCAACTTTTTTAGGTCTAAAAATAAGAATTAGAGTTAACATGAATCATGTTAAGTCTAATTTAACATGTTTTAAATCTAATTTTATGTTAAGTCCAATTTGATTCATATTAAGTCCAGTTTGATTCATGTTAAATCTAATTTAATTCCTTTTAAGTCTAATTTAAATCATGTTATGTCTAATTCAACTTATTTTAAGTCTAAAAATAAGTTGAATTAGACTTAACATGAATCATGTTAAGTCTACTTCAACTTATTTTAAGTCTAATTTCATGTTAAGTCTAATTTTACTTCATGTTAAGGCTAACTTGATTCATGTTAAATCTAATTTTATTCCTTTTAAGTCTAATTTT